TTTAAAGTTTTGCGCAATTGATCGCCTGCTTCCATTAAGGTTTTTCTTAACACTTTCGATAAATTTATCCTCTTCGTCTGTTATTTGATTTAAAAATAGCCTTTCAAAATCCTCATCCCAATCAGTTTCTGGTAAGGGCCCCCTAGATAAGCCATCGGCGTCCAGATGCTTCTTTCCCGATTTATGTATTATATCGAAGTCATATTCTTGAATTTTCAATGCCCATCTTGCCAATCGACCTGTTGGATCCTTCAAGTTTTTGAGCCAGCATAAGGCGTGATGGTCTGTTACTATTTTAAAGTGTCTTCCATAAAGGTAGGGTCGTAATTTTGACATTGACCAGACAACGGCCAGACATTCTTTTTCAGTGGTTGAATAATTTTGCTCCGCTTTACTTAGGGTACGACTCAAATATGAGATCACCTTCTCTTCACCACCGATGTCTTGGACAAGTGTTGCACCTATGCCGATGTTGGACGCATCAGTATGAACATAAGTAGGTGCATTTGGATTGAAGTGACCTAAAATTGGTGGACTTAATAGTGCTGTTTTTAGGGTTTGAAACGCTTCCTCTTGTCTTTCTGTCCAGGTAAATGATACACTTTTTTTTATAAGGTTGGTCAAAGGGTCAGCAATTTTTGAAAAGTCTTTGATAAATTTTCTATAATATGAACACATTCCCAAAAAGGATTGTACTTCTTTGACCTTTTTGGGCCGAGGAAAATTTCTGACAGCTTTGATGTTATGTTCCGCGGGTTTTATACCATGTTTGCTCGTTATATAGCCGAGAATCTCCAATTCTTCAAAAGCAAATCGGCATTTTTTGTCGTTTAAACCTTAAATTAGATTCACGAAAACATCTAAAAACAGCTTCAAGTCTTTTGAGGTGCGTTGGAAAATCCGGGCTATATATGATAACATCATCCAGATAACACAAACAATTTTGCCATCTCAGATTTCCAAGCATATTCTCCATATTTCTCTCAAAGGTAGCAGGCGCGTTACAAAGTCCAAAAGGCATCACGTTGAATTCATATAATCCATGCGCTGTAGTGAAAGCTGTTTTCTCTTTGTCTCTTTCTTCGACTTCAACTTGCCAATATCCAGATCTGAGGTCTATTGCTGAGAAGTGTGTAGATCCTTGGAGAGTATCCATAACTTCGTCTATTCTAGGGATCGGATAGACATCTTTTACCGTCACATTATTCAGTTTTCTGTAGTCCACACAAAATCTGTATTTACCATCTCGCTTCTTGACCAATATTACTGGAAAAGACCAGGGGCTAGAAGATGGCCTAATTATGCCTTCTGTAAGCATCTCGTCAATTTGCTCTTTTATAATATCTCGTTCTTTAGCACTTACCCGGTAAGGCTTGTGTTTAATTGGCTTCGCGTCTTCTGTGTCTATCCGATGTTTTGCCAAATTGGTTCTCCCTAATCTCGATGAAAAAAGATCTCCATACCTTTCTAAAACTTGTTTTAACTCCTTCTGTTCCTTTGGTGAAAGATTTTCGTTTATTTGGAATCTAGGTTCTTCGTTCTTTTCTACCTCTCTTTCTCGACTCACATTTATTTTCGCTGGACTACTTCCAAAAGCCAATGTTTGGTTTTTCATTATTTTTAACGGTCGAGGATACGGATTAGTTATCCAGATGTGTGTTTCCCTATTTATAACATTGATCAAGCTTCTTGCTAGACGAAGTCCATTTGTTTGAAACATTTTGCTGCTCTCTTCGATAATATATTCTCCATCCTCTGTTTCTACCAATGCCTTGATCAATTTCATGGAACATTCCGGTACAATGGAATCCTTGGCACTCTTTATTTTCAACATTTCAAAATTGATTTCGTCATGATTATTCGTCAAATCATATTTTATAGTTTCTTGCTTACAATCTATTTTTGCGTTCATTTTCTTAAGGAAATCTCTCCCAAGAATTAATGTCCGTAAATGCGTTTTCAATATCACAAAGTTGTGTGATAATGTTTCGTCATCAATTTTTATATTTAAAAATATACTTCCTACCATGTCCAATTTTTTTCCATCGGGTCCTGCACAAATTTTTGCGAGTTTACTTATACCATGGCCTGTATCGAGGGCCGTTCTGAGGTCGACCACTGAGAGGTCAGCACCTGTATCAACCAAAGCTTCAAAAGTCCCTATCTTGTCCACATTGATTTTTAATTTGTATTTAGGGTCCAACTTCTTGATTCCGTTTATGGTCGACTTGCTTTGATTGACAGATTCAGGCGCGACGCTTAGTTTAAATCTTCCAACACGGAATATCTATTCCGGGTAGGAATATTTGTCTGTGTGCTATGACATACATCAGCATAAAGCCGAGGTCCTGATTTCTCTGATATTTCATTCATTTGGCATTTTTCTTCCACCTTCTCTTGGGTATCTGCTGGATCCTCTTCTAGGATTCTTATAAACTTGACCCTACAATAACGGGCCACGTGCCCTGGCTTGTTACATTTAAAGCAGATTGGTCTTCCATCTTCCGTCCTATTTTTGCTCACTTCTTGGCTTTTATTGTAAGTGTTTCTCTGAAGGTTTGGTTTCGGCACAAAGTTAGGATTATAAGGACGTCTAGGGGTAGAGGGCTGGGGAAAGTTGTTTCGATACTGTCTGGGGGTAGGATGGGAGTCGTTCTTGTAATTATTGGAAACAGGGGCTTGGGGCCTGGAAGTGGTCTGGTAGTTTCGTGCGGCAGTCGGCGGCACGTACCTCGATTGTTGTTGGGGTCTAGAATAGCGTGGACCGTTATATAGGTTTCTGGATTTCTCCACACGTTCCCGATACTTCTTTTCAAAAGAATCCATTTTCTTGCACACGACAAGAAGGTCATTGGTCGTTTTAGGAGGGTTCAGGTAGAGCACGAATGAGTACTCTTTTTTCAGTCCTCCAATAACATGTTCAATTTTTGTTTCTTCTTCCATTGCGGGGTCAACCTTGTTGCACAACACTAGAATGTCTTCCGCGAACCTGATTGCTGGTTCATTCCAGTGTTGCATTCTGTTGAGCTTCATTCTAAGTTCTTCTTTATTCGCGTCCAAAGAAAAATCCTGAATGAGGCGGATTTTAATATTTTCCCAGCTCGTGAAACTAGCTTTGTGTAAATTCAACCAGGTTTTAGCGCTTCCCGTCATGTTCATGGCGGCATAACGAGAGATAATGTAGTCTGCCCAATGGTACAAGAAGCCAATTTCTTCAAGAGATTCAATCCATGGGCGAGGGTCTTCCGTTCCATCATACTTGGGGATGTCGATGTTGGGATTCAGGACAACTGGGTCGGAACTAGCATCTCTACCAATTGTTACACCAGGTTGCGGCTTGGCAGACTCTTCAGCTTGGATTCTCTCCTGTGCTGGGTCTTGCATCTTACCAGAGCGTGTTTCAACCATCCTACAAATTTATAAAAGGGAATAACGAGATAAGTCTTCTTTAAGTAGCCACCAGAATCCTTTTTTTATTTTCTCACATCAAAGAGAGCAGTGAAGTCACAGTGTACCTAAATACAAATAATGATAAATTAATAATCTGTTTTAAATAAATATCATAGAATATTTTATATAAAAATAAATAAATATATAATTTAAATTTCAAATATATTAAAACTAATATAAGAAATACGCCATTAATCATGATGTAACAATATATAGAGATATCTGTACCATATTTCAAACAATACAATTATATGATGGTGATAATATTCTCATTTCACGCCAACCCCGACACTTCGGCTGTGGAGAAATACTCTCTGATGGCCCGTTGAGCCTACACTACACTGAGGGGCAACAGCCCGAAACGCGTATTTGGTTGGCTTTTTTTTTCGTTAAAAAGGTATTTTACCAATTTCTGGAAATCGAAAAGCACATCGTTCAGTTCAGATTTATTCCAATAGATACCAGCGCAACGTTTAGTCTCAATCATAAGGATTAAGAGAATAAATTATAAAAATATATATTTTTTAATACAATTTTTTTTTTTCTCTCTAGAAAACGAAGAAAATAAAAAAAAAAACTTTTCTTTAACATTAAAATTCGCAACCACGTTTGTGTCGTTGCATGCCAAGTTTCACCAATTTAATCTTTAAAAATATGTTAAATTATACCTTTTGTTAAAATAACAAAAATATAAATTCGCATAAAATAAAATCGTTTAAAATATTCGGCGTTTATCACAAAACAAAAGATTTTAACTCTATCGGGTTGAAAAAAATGCGCCCGCCGTCAAAATAGTTACATTTTTTGTCGGTAGATGGCGACGTTCGACCATTTCATTTACGACCTCTTTAAATTTAGTTTTTCGCCAACGGTTTAGAATACGAAGTATATATTAATTAAATTTAGGGCAAAACGGAGGGTTTTCAACCTTAGATTCGAGTGGGGTTTGAATTTTGCCTAAAATACCCGTTTTCCGTTGTTCATCAAAAGTGTAGGGTATATAAGGAAACGCGACCCTCATTTGTTAGAAGGCAGATGGCGGTAGCCGGTCAAGTGATGTTTTACCAATAGATCCTTCTGAAATCTGTGAAGTCAATTTAATATCCTGATGGCTTGTGCTTCTACATTTGCCTCGGCTCTTTTTTTATTTTCTAAAACGATTCGTTTTTTTTTTTCAAATAATGCTCAAAAACAAGTCGGTGGGCGAGTGACCCTCGATTCCCAACAGCCATGAACCGGGATTGAATCCCGTATTGTACACGTTGTTTTAATATGTGAATAACCTTCATATATATTATTCATTGTTGTAAATATCATAAGCAAGGTTTTGCTTTTTTTTTTTTTTTGACAGCGGTACCTTTTAAAGTTATTTTGGAAATAATGCTCGCTGAGCAACGCAATACTTTTTTTTTTTTTTTAAGCGAGCCCTTTGTTAGAAATCTCTACAATGGCCTTTTGAATTTAGAGTGATCCTACAAAGTATATTAAATTTAATTGCCATCTATCGTTAAAATCTACTTATATAATTGCCTTATTCTGTCTGTGTGAAGTTCACTGTGTGGGATCGGAATCGAACCCACGACCTTCCGCTTACCGGGCAGATGCCATGACCACTAGGCTACCCTGGACATATTTTTCCGTTCATAAAGTTAAGAGTAAAAGAATAAATATTTTAATATAAGAAGTATATACCGTTTTGCACAATTATTTAATCTTTTTTATATAAAGTACAATACTTAAATGAAAATATGTTTCTTATACAATCAAATTATAATTGTAACGAATAGTATTTTAATTAAAACATTTTAAAAACACACAGTTTGGAACGGGACGTTTCACAAGAGTGACATCCATGGCGCCAATTTATAATTGTAACGAATAGTATTTGAATTAAAACGTTTTTAAAATATATACGCACTCGGGTAAAACCCGGGCGTTGCCCGGGCCATTCGTCTAGTTTACATATATAAATTTACTGGCAATGCGCTTCTTTTAAATATCATCAAATATTATCTCTACAGATCTTACAGTAAGGTCTGTAGAGATAATATTTGATGATATTTAAAAGAAGCGCATTGCCAGTAAATTTATATGTGTAAAATCATACAAAGTATCTTTACAAATTCGTCTTCCCTTCACAAAATTAACAGTATGTATAACTTATTCAATACTCTAAGATCGTTAGTTGCAATGCGTTTTTTTTTTTTTAAAGAACCTTTTTTTTAAGAACGATGATGATAATATCATATATTGATTAGAATCGAAGGAATGGTAGAAGAGATCAAAGGTAAAACGCGAAGGATTTCTTTATTTAAAAGGCTGCTAGCTTTCTGACAATAATGCCCTTCAACAGACAGACTTGGCAAAATACAAGATAATCAAACAAAAAGAAAAGATCAAATATGTGAAATAAACTCTGAGAGAAAACTGACAAAAACAATAACAAGACTTAGAACAAAACACTATAAAGGAATGGCAATACATCCAGATGGCACAAGGACCTATAGGACATGTAACAACTGTCCTGGCTGGTGTGGAACTAACACCTACCCACATATTCTCATGCCCAGCAATGGCCGCAGCCTTGCAGAAAATTGACTTAGACACAGAGCAGCAGCTTTACACACCCAAGATAGTGGATATTGCTGCTGATGTGATGGAGATGTATGGAGACATCTGAGACTCTTCTTTGGACACGACAACAACAACAACAGACAGACTATTACGTGAATACAAGAATACCCTAGTTTTTCGCGCCTGTTGAAGAACCTTATTGTCTGAAAGCTAGCAGCCTTTTAAATAAAGAAATCCTTCGCGTTTACCTTTGGTCTCTTCTAAACATAATATTCCTTCTATTGTAATATGTAAATATAATGGTTATCATCATCTTAATGATGATAAACTTTCCTTAAAAACACAACTGCAACTAATACAAAACCTTATTACTGAATAAGTATATCCCTCCTGGTCTGGAGGAAGACACTATCAAGATGGTGGAGTCTTCCTCACTCATAAATCATTTTAAATATTCCCATTATTCTTCATTTATTTTGTAAAACCTAATTGACAAGATGTCAATAAAAGTGTTCAAATGTCAATAAGTATACTTTATTGTAATTTTTGTGAAGGTAAAACGAATTTGTAAATATACTTTGTAGGGTCACTTTTAAATCAAAAAGCCATTGTAGAAATTTCTAAAAAAGTGCTCGCTTGTAAAAAAAAGTCCTCTTTGAGATTCCATTTTATGGTCTTTGTCTGTCCCATGTGCATTGCACCACCTCCCAGACTTCTAAAGCGCTAAGTTCAAGTCATCTGAAAGGTTTTATATACCGGTTACCTTCAGCTACAGCAAAATGGTGTAAAACTATCTACTGTGTCCAGCAGGGACCCACGGGGAGGCGGATACTCATGGGACAGACAAAGACCATAAATACCATTGGTATACAATGTGGAAACTTTGTGGGAGTTTGTGTGGTGTTAAGTAATTACTGATTAAAAAAAAAACCGAGTTTTAAGTAGATTGTTAGTTGTAAAAGTTTATCTCTGTGTTAAATAATGTTAATAAATTAATTTATTAAATATTTTTTTTCGCGCAAAATCTCTCTCTCTTTCTTTAACTTGTAGATTTCTAGTTTGTTCAAATTTTCTTTCTCTCTCTATGTAACCCGGATTCCTGGAGCGTAATAAAGACTTTTTTTTTCTTTTGAAATGATGGCAAAACGATAATTTTAGCAATAATAAAAATATTAAAAAAGTCTTTGTTTTAACATCTATATTTTCAATATCTGCTAATCATTTCTAGTTTGAACGCGTACATAACTATAGGGAATTGACCCAAACATAAGATGATACTAATCTTGTTAGCTGCGGCTCTAGGCACACCACCTACATTCATGGACAAAACTTAAGGAGGTGGAACGAACGTCTTTAATGTCGCCGGTCATCTTTTTTTTTTGAAGGAGACGGAAGCAATTTTGTTTAAATTTTGTAATCTCGTGTGTCTTCAATAAAGATCACTGTAATATCTTTAAGAGTTATTGTTTGAATCCTGATATACATGCTCTTTTTTTTGCTTATTCCTAGTACACGTGGTTCAGGCCATGTTAATCATGGTAGGTAGAAGTTGGCAACTGCTTTTACTGTAAATGCCCCACATGTCTACACATGTGAAAAGCAGTTCGACTTTGCACTTACAAACGTGCCAGAGCCCCGTTTGGTTACTTGCACTCGCTGGTGGGGTTGGACTTTTGCAAGAATCGGGGGCTTTTTTTTTTTTCAATTATAAAAAAGTTCCCAATGCGGGATTCGATCCCGGGTCGTAGCGGTCGAAAACCAACAGTTTAGACCATCCTTCCACCGACCCTCTATACATGCTAAAAGGTACAGCTTCCTTAAGTTTTGTCTATGAGTGTACATGTCTATTCATGTAACAAACAGTTGCACTTACAAGGAGGTCACAGTCCCGTTTGGTTACTTGAACCCACTTGTGATGTATCTGAGTAGTATTAGATGTAATTGAAGGTGCCACTTTTCTTATTTTTTAATCGACTGTACACATTCCTTTTACAAATATTTCACTAGGCCAGTATGCTGCTCTATGATACCACTGGAGTTAACAATGGTGGGGATAGGAGGCTACAGCCATACCACGTTGAAAACACCGGTTCTCGTCCGATCACCGAAGTTAAGCAATGTCGTTCAGTACTTGGGTGGGAGATAGGAACGATCAGCTGTTTACTTCCGCCTACTCCACACCATCTGGCCCATTTGTACAACTTTTCTTTACATGCAAATCCATCTTTAAATATATGGATTGGTTTAAATTCAGAAAATCTCAGTAGCGTATAGATGGAAATTTTGCCGGGAGGAAATTGATCCAAAGAGACAAGGGTCGCCTCTCCCGTCAAAATAGACGTATAAAACCAGACGCCATCTATTGACCGTCGCCGCAACTAGCGGCCTCGGGTCGGTGACAAAGCCACAACACCAGCTTTGGCAAACTGAAAAACGTCCACCTAGAGACCATGGTTTCGGGCTAATGGAATCCATTGGATCTCATGGAATAAAGTCCGCCCTAGACTGACGAGGGCCATTATCCCGAAACCATGGTCTTTAGGTGGACGTTTTTCAGTTTGCCAAAGCTGGTGTTGTGGCTTTGTCACCGACCCGAGGCCGCTAGAAGCGGCGACGGTCAATAGATGACGTCTGGTTTTAGACGTCTATTTTGACGGGAGAGGCGACCCTTGTCTCTTTGGCTCAGTACCATAGTTATACTTGTCGAAGGACTGTTACACCAGAAAGCTTGTATTGCCGTTATATATTTATTTATGCTTATGAGGTGATACAGCAGCGTATTTACAATTAGAGAGGAGACAAAATGAATTAAATCTAGAAAAAAGAAGTGAGGACATATCGGTCAACCGTTATATATAAAAGAAACTCTTCCCTCAGAGAATTGTCTTTTATTTATAATTTTCAATATAATCTACACGGGTGTCTCACTCCGTTGGCGATGCCATAAAATAAGTTCTTTTTGTTGTTGTTGTTGGCTAAACACATCTCGAAACTGATTATTTATCTCTTCATCGAACACAAATCTGATCCCCTTTGGTGGTTTTTGAATTAAAACGTAATAGGAAATGGACGAAGTTGGAGCTTTATGATGGATGAATTCTTGGAAGCATTTGGTATATATATAATAGCCGTTGCTTCTGCTGTTTTAGTCCACTTTTGGATGGTGGGAACATTAGCGTGAAGCATCAACCTTACATGGGCCGCGACGTTCTTTCTTCATTATATTCTTTAAAGTTCTTAAAGTTCCTGAACGTTGGTCTCCTGTCATCTACATGCTCTTGCGTGCGTATTGCCGTTTGGAAGCAGTGAACTCTTTATGTTTTAACTCGACTTGGATTCTAGATACCAACGATGTGAATCTATGTATGAATCTATGTAACAACACCAGTTACAATGACACTTAAAATGTTATGATTTAGCGTCAAAGCTGTCTAGTTTTGAATTGCTTTGAAAAATCTGCGTTTTTTTCGTGGAGAAGTCAATATACAGTTAAACCTGTCTATAGCGCCCCCTCTTGGGACTCACCAAAATAGGGTGCTATAGACAGGTCACTTTTAATGTAAATCGCATCGTACTACATATTTAAAATCGGGCGCTATAGAGAGGGAGGCGCTATTTAGAGGGGGTGCTATAGACAGGTTTAACTGTATTCACTAAATCCACTTCGCGCAAACATTTCGACATGTTCAATTCGTTGCCAATAAGTTTTTTAAAGATAGTTGATACTGAAAACTTTCACATTCTAAATACTCGCATTGTTGCGCAGATATCTTCCATAAGTTTGGCTTAATTTTAAGCCAATTCTATAATTCTATACAATGTGTCAGATTCGAGATACTGATCTTAAGGTAGAAAACATAACTTTCAAAGAAGCGTGCAATTACAAACAAGAATGAAAGAAAGCCCCAAACCGAGGCAACTGCTTATCAACTGAGAAAAAAAAAAAAAAAAAAAAAGAAGACAAATGGGAAAACGAAAGAAAAAACATGTAGTCGAAACAATAAAACGGTCCAATTTACAAGGAAGAACATCAGGAACCTAGAATCCCGTATCACAAGGCACTAAACCTTGTGAATAAGTGGACTGCAGATGAAATGAACCTATACATATTCTTCATGATAAATATCATGACCTGGGTTGTACTCTTTTTGAGTAGCACCCAATAAAGTTAGTTTTGAACTGAAGGTAAACTCAAGGACAAAACTTTAAAAAGTTTCATATTTTAATGTCGCCTCTCGTTTTTTTTTTTTTTTTGAGACAGAGGCAATTTTGTTCACACTTGGTTATCTCGTGTATCTTCAATAAAGTTCACTCTATATCAAATATCTTTCAGAGTTATTATCTGAATCTCGATATACATGGTAAAAGGTACAACTTCCTCAAGTTTTGTCCATGAGTGTGTATGTAATAAATACCGTGAGACGTGGAGTGAAGGGGCCATCTGTGAGTGGACCACATCATTGGGACCACGCAGTTTGAAGAGATGAGGCAATAAGAGGATCGTTTTAAATCCGTCCCACTGTGGACCCCCTCCCTCACCCCCAGTTGACGTAACCACAGCCCTGCTGCTGATGATGGAGTCCGCAGATGGCTGGCTGCTGTATGCCACTCTCTCTCCTGTAGCTAGCTAGGTTTTATAACACATCCGTCAACGGCAAATCCTACATAGTTCCATACAAGTTAAAATAGATTTGAAGGGAGAAATATATGTTGTTGTTGTTTCTTATCCCCTTGTGTAAAGATTACACGAATTCCATGAGTTTATGATCTCATGGAATGGGGTATAGGGGTGCAGCTTTCGTTGATCATGGCACTATGATCCAGGCACACTTTGGTGAAAGTCTGACTTTGCCTGTAATTTGAGGTCGTTTCTAACATGGAAGCCTTTGCTGCCGACTCTAATATGAGTACAGACGCAACTCCTCCGTATCCCTGGAGTACCGGGTCAGTTGAACTCAGGATTTTTAAATATATAAACACGACTATTTATAAACTATATTTACATATTCAACTGCCATCTATCGATACAATTTAATTTCCAGGCAATGTGTTTCTTTTCACATATATAAACCCTTTCATTCAATAACTTTTTTATCATCGCATTTAGAGAATTTTTATATTCTCCATTCCAGCTAACGTCGTTATGTAAGGTTCCCGCGAGCACTTCTTCCTATCCTGACAAAATATACAGTATAGCGGGCGGAAAGAAATACAATCACGAACTCTCAAACTTCGATTTTAGGCATAGTATCGCTGTATTTAACACCTAGGTTACAATATTTACTTTTTTTTTTGTAAGATTCTCACCATATTTGCCAAGAATAACAAAATTTGTTTTCCATCATCGGTTTGAAGATAAGAACTAGGCGTGGGTTATATTGCAAAAAAAGTACTTTTTGCAAAAGTTTGTCCCTATATATAGTCTTCAGGAGATGTTTAGTCCGGAGTGCAATCATTGTTTGAGAAATAATACTACCCTGCAATACTAACAATGGTAGAGCCATTGTTTAATTTAGAATAAATTGAAGGGGGGGGGGGCAAATTTTTTAGTGGTGATGGCAAGAGTGTTCAGCTCTATGTGAGATGTAGTGTCTATAAATAACTGACGGGAGAGTGTGCGATCGACTGCTGGGCAGGGGTTGTAAAAAGAGTTCTGCCCGAATGAGCTGGGGGGGGGGGGGGATGACGTCACACGGCAGTGGGGGGCGCGCCACTTGCCGGCGGCATGGAGGCAACGGCGGCAGCTCCCGAGGTGGGTCTCTCTCCATCCCTACCTAGCGCTCTGCATCATAGTCTCTTATCACTATGTCCATCCTTGTTTGTTCTTTAATTGACTTGTTCTTGACGGGGAGAATTCTACTTAATGTTTTATCATTCCTTCTATTTATCTCAGTCAACTTCTAGTTATATTCCTAGATCTCTTCACTTATAACTTGTAAGACTTTCCGTAAAACTCATTCCTTGTTTTCCTTCTTTAGAAAAAATCTTCCAATGTTGAGACAAGCAAGCGTGATGCATTCTATTATTGTCCATTTTCAACGTTCGTAGGCGAAATTTCAAATGAAGTTTCATTACACTAGTTTGCAGTCGAGTTCTAAAGTAACTTTATTGGGTGTTGCTTAGAAAGGCAACCCAGTAGTTTTCAGTGAAACTCGCCTACATTGTGAATTTTTGACCAAAGCAGAGTTGGTTTACTTATAACCGGCGATAGTCTCAATAATGTATGCACCATTCCTGTACCTCTCTTCCGCTTCCAAATCGGTAGATTTTTGTCAAGTGTTTTTATTTCTCAGAGGCCCCCTGGCGGTGGTTGGTTTCTAGCGGCCTAATTGGTTTAATTTAAGGGACCACCCGCGTTTTTTTTCCAGCCGGTCTGGCCGTGAAGCAATGGCACATGCTGCGCGAGGTGTTTAATGACTCCGGGCTTTATTGTAGCCAGTGACGGTGAAACATTCCTCGAGCTTGGCGCTGATTCATAGACCGACTTGGGTCCCACGGTGTGGATGCGGGAAGTTTCTGGTGAGGAAAGTGCCGCCTTCAAAGTTGACAGACAGGTCTCCCCTGTTCCTCCTGTATGTCGCGGCGGCTGCAGGGGGATTTGTGTCAATCAGGGCTGTCGGCGGGATCATACGCTTCGGCCATGTGATGTCGGCATGGTCCATGGATGTTAACGTGTGACCACCAGTTCTTGGCAAAACAATCGCGCCATTCCTATACGTTTGTTTGGATGCGCCTTTAAAACGCCATCAATATGACGTAACGGTGATTGTTGTTGTTGTTAGTCATGGTGTCGTCTTTGGTGATGACAGTTTTCTCTTAGTCTCAGTGCATCTGTGAGAACGGCCTTCGCTTTACATGTTGTTATAGGCCCAGCACAGGTTGACTCAGTATTTCTCAATGTGGTGCTTGAGAATAGAGACGTGATCTCTTTATTCTATATCGGGAGATGTAGTGACAACTACCAAAGATTTGGCATAGACTTACCCACCGCAAACAGCCGACATGCAGGGACTGACGACATGATTAAAGTTCACCTTTTAAAAGAAAATCTGACTTTTTAGTTGCCAAAAACCCTGCCACGTCTTTTGAGTCTGTTCAAAATGTTGGTTGAAGAGAAGGAGCTGAAGTAGATGTTGACTCATTCCTTGGGAAATCTCTTACATGGAC